ATAAAATCACCATAATTAAGAAATAAAATTAAATTAAATCAAAAATGATTGAAAATAAACTTTGGCTGATGACTGGCTGGGAATTACATTCCCTCCACGTCTGACAGGAAAGTGGTTTATTCAGGATGTCAGACTTGACCCCTGTCAACCTCAACATTTTAATCTGCAGGATGACAGCTGAGACGGACCACGTCTGGGGTTCCCTCTATAGCTGCCCGTGTCATTCGGTGCATGCTTGTACCATTGATTTTTCATCCCCTGCACGTGACATACACCTCCCCACATAAGAAGAGTAGATCTGCTTGTATTATCACATTCTTAATGGCTTCTTAATGAAGGTTTTATTGGCGATAAGGCCAGAGGGGGGTGGGCTGGTGCTGACAGGACAACGGATGGCTTTGCAAGGTCTCCTGGGAGCGTTAATGTCTACTGGGAGTTGAGGGTCTGCGCTGAACTCATCTCAATTTCTCCTTTCATTTTTTTTTCTCCAAGGCTTTATATTGTGGCTGTAGTTGCCATGGTAGCGGTTGGTTTTCAGCTGTGAGGACGGCTGTCTTGGAAGGATGTGTTGATTCAGATACAAGTGACCTCTCTGCAACTCCTGTTAACAGACAGACTGGGAATATAGTAGTGGTTTTAATTCAAAATACTGTTTGTTAGGTGGCTCATGTTGCAGAGCTGTGTGGGTGTGCCTTTGTGCGTCACTGCGTGTGTGTGTGTGTACGCATGTTCATATGTGGATTAGTCCTGCGAGTGTGCTCAGCTGGTGCCACAAGGTGTTGTTTCATTTGGTTTAATGAGATTTTGACAAAGCTATCCGAGAGATCATTTGCCTTTCATAGCCAGAGCTACACACAAGGAGCTTGTAAATATTAGATTGGTGTGTATGTGTGTGTATGTGTGTGTGTGTGTGTGTGTGTGTGTGTGTGTGTGTGTGTGGAGAAGGGGGGCTGCTTTTCAAATAATTGAGAATTCTATTCATCAAGAAAAAGAAAATATATGCACATTTTTCCCCTCCTCGACTGAGCTGTCTTGTGTCACCTTTGCAGATGCTGAATGAGCGTCATGTGATGGTGCGTGTGGGCGGAGGCTGGGAGACCTTCATAAGTTACCTGCAGAAACACGACCCCTGCAGAGGGGGTGGACCTGTTGGCAGATCTGAGGTCAGGGTCTGCAGGGACAAAGCAAAGTCACCCAGTGTGAGCATCTCACCTGACAGCTACATGGTGGTTGGTGCTCATTACCGGAACAAGAAGTAGACTCTCAAACTGCTCTGAACATCTCACTTAATCAGACCAAACTGTGCGACATCAGTGATTTAACATATTGCTTTTTACCTCAAGTTTAAAAGGAGCTCCAATTCTTTCTATTTAAGGTCCACAGTGTAGGATTTAGAGTGATATATTGGCAGAAACAGAGTATAATATAATGTCTTGAGTATATAATCAGCTCAAAATAAGAATTGTGTTTTCTCCAGAAAGGGCCATTCACATGTTCATGTTTTCGCTTTTTCGTGTCGGCCATCGTAGTTAGCAGCCCCCCCGTGAGAACTCTGCGGATTATTCAGCTCCTGGTAAAGACTGTCTGAATAATGAACACCCAAGGAAATCTAACCAGGAGTTCACACTTGGCACATGGGAGAAGTTTCAGCTGGTTGCAATCTGCATTACTCACCACTAGATGCCACTAAATCTCCCTAAATCTTACACACTGGACCTTTAGAAACTGTAGATATAACTGGTTCATACCTGATTGTTATCGGTATAAGTTATCCAACCTACAGTACAGGAACAACTTGGCAACAAAGCTATGTCTGTGTAGTATGCAACAATTAGTCAATGAGCATAAAATTAATCTTCAGGGATCTTAATGATCGATTGATCATCTCGGTCACTTTTTAGGGACAATCCAAACATTTGTTTGTTCCAGCTTCTTCAATGGGAAGATTGGCTGCTCTTATATGTGATAACAAACTGAATGTCTTTTGGTTTTTGACCAATGATTGAACAAAACAAGCAAACTGAATACATACGATTTGACTTTATAACAGGAATTTCTCACTATTTTCTGACATTCTACAGATTAAATGCAAAATAGAGAAAATAATCAGCAAATTCATCAGTAACGAAAATAATTGTTAGTTGCAGCATAGGCAGATTATGACATAATGGATGATTGGTACAACACATGGTTGTTTCTCCCCACAGAGCTGAAGGGCCAATACTGCATAGACCAGTGGTTCCTAACTGGTCCAACCACAGGGTCCAGATTTCTCCTCAGTCATTAGTTCAAGGTCCACACAGTTTAATACATTGGACATCATACTCGCATTTGGCCATGACGTCGATCTAGTTTGCTGTGTCTGTTAGGTAGCTGTCTGTTAGTCACTCACTCTACAGCAGAAAACAGCACTTCAAAATAAAAGCTCTCTGATGAAAATTCACTGTACGTAAAAATAAAGTGTGTTTTTTGACATATATGCAAGTCAACTGTAGTCCATTCAGAATGAACCTGCAACCCACCAGTTGGGAAACACTGGCATAGAGTCAGTCCAGCTCAAGTCCTAAAGATAAACTGGGGAGATAGAGACACTCACTTTAAATGGTTAATGGTAAAATGGTTTCCTTCTTGTGACATTTTCAAAGTAAATGTTAAGGCTAGTCCTTCAATTTGTACTTTAAGGACTTTTTAGGACTTTTTAAAGAAGGACTCTGTTACTAACATGAATGACTGAGCCCTTTGGCAAGAAATGCAAAGTTAATAACAGCGACTGAGCCCTTGGGCCCCTGTGCCTGGGTCCAGTAGACCCGTTTGGAATTACACTCATGTGCAGCAGCTATTGTTATGTGCTGTGTATCATAACTGTCATATAATCATCGTCATCAAATATTCTTTTATGGACAGTTTTGTATGACATAAATTATATATTTGTACTGATGTAGTTTAGTTTGTAAAGATACATCTATGTTTTTACAGATCATGATACTGTAGTTTGAATTTGTATGTATGCGTTTTTTTTATTGTGTTCCAGCATCAGTGTGAGTAGTGGTCTTATACATAGTGACTTTTAATGTTCAGAATTATTTTTCTGTATTTTACTGGATAAAAATAAACCTTTTCAGAAAAGTACTTTCTCTGTGAATGCTGTCTAAAATCACACACATCCTAATTTACAGCTCATAACATTTTTTTTAATGATATGTATCATATTTTCTCATTTAATTAATAGTCTGTAACTCGTGATGGATTTACAATTACATTTACATCATGGGGCTGTTGCAGATATTGTATCACCTCAGTCATATAGAAGCAAAGACACAAAGCACCACGTCCTCCCTCTAGATGGCACCATGTCCTAAGTGACAAAAGGCCTCGCCTCCATACTTATCTGGAGGAGGGTGCTGCCCACACTGCTGCTATGAGCAAACCTTACCTCTCCTGGACATTCACCTCTGAGTTGGACTGAAAATCTGTTTCCAGTTCCAATAAACTACCTCATTCCCACAGAGACAACGGGGCAAAACAAACAGGAACATGAGTGGGGAGGGTTCACAGACGAGAGACACAGCACTTTAGTAATTACATGTTTTATTTCAGTAAAATAAATTAATTAAAAATGGACACAAGTTTGAATATATTGAAAGAAACTAACTGTAATGAGATCATGCAAGACTGTAATGTCTTTTTAGTCCCCACATAACATCTGCAGTGGATTGAACCAGTATAAATGACTTGTAGAAAATAATAGCTGTGCTACTGAAACAAGTGCCACTCTAAACGGTGGCGTTTTCACAGGGCATCTCTCGTTGCACAGAGTACATGTACTAAGTTCCTCATGAAACAAAGGAAGTTGCCACTTTAGAGGGGTTTTACAACAATTTCAAATACACTGTTACGCTGTGTTGGCCTCATTCGTTCTCTAAAGCACATAATTCGTAATGGTTTGTCAATCTTGCTACTGTGTGCTACTGTTGTTTTGTATTCAAACTCCAATCAATGACAGAATCTCAGTTTTAAAATACAGACATTGTTATGTTGAAATTTACTCTTTTTTGAGATACAGGGGTGTAAATATGTGCTTTAAATGATTTTTTCTTGTAATACTTTTTTGATAAACTCCTGCACATGTGCAGTGGTGGCAAAATCAGCACTGGAAAAGTCAGATTTCCCAACTATAATACACAAAAAACTTGTAAGAGTTGTGTGCAATTGTGCTTCAGTCCTAACAACACATTATACTTGCACCATGTACTTATACATTACAGTTTACTGCTTACAGTAATACTTATATTACTGCACATCAGTTTGGGTGTGAACTTAAAACTTTATAAAAACCAAAACACCAAACAGCATTGCATTCTGTGGACGTCAGAAAATACACTGACTCGGTTGTTAGTGTAATGACCATAGATATAAATGCTTTTATATTTATGGTATGTCCTTGTTTCTGGCATAAATATTTTCACAATAAGAGCCTAGACCGACTGACCCTAAACACACAACATGGTATAAACCCAAACTCTTTGTAAAAGACACAACAGGGTGCTTATTACATGCTCTGATCATCTTTTGCTCCCGTGTGTGACCTCGCGAAAACATATAATGTAGAACGCCACCTGCTCAGACTTCAGGTTCACAGACTGTTATGAGATCCAGCAAAGTGCAAAGATTCAACAAGACACTGAAGATACAGTTTTCAATCATGCCTCAGTTAATTTCCTCTGACTTCTGTAACGTGGTAGCCTCGTGAGGAGGTTAATGGTGATGGTGAAGAGACTGAACATCATACACAGTGTTGTCAACACACATTATAACACCTTTTTTTTCTAAGAAAGTTAATTGACATAGCTGATAGACTATCTCATGACTCATCTCCAGCTATTTATAAAAACTTTGTCACACATGGCTGTAATATTCTTGTTTCATGAACTTGTGTAGTGAGTTTGACAAATAGAAAATAAATGAGTTGTAATGACTGGGGGGACAAAATCATGTTTGCGTAACAGAAAAAACTGACTGCTTTGAGTTATTATCATCCACAAGTGTCACCAAGAGAATCATTTCTCATTTTACCAGTGAGCAAACTAAAGTCCAACCTGCTACACTTCCTTATTAAATCACGGTCCCATCCTATTAAAACTGGCGCATTTTACTGATTTGTGCACCAAACCACACGTCTGATTCTAAATTTAAAAAAAAATGTTTCTCCAAGAATTTATCACTTCATTTTTACTCATTATTCCGTTGTTTTCAAAATGTTGTCCAACATTTGAAGGTATACTATGCAGGATTGTCGGTTACGGCGAAAGTCAAAGTAAAGCCAACCCCAGGTTCACTCATGTTTGGCTTTATGCCGCACTATATTTAAATTGTCGGTGAAGACTCTCAGTCGCCCGGCAGCTGGACTTCCTTGAGTTTCTTGAAGACGCTTTACCTCTCATCCAAGAGGCTTCCTCAGGTCTAACGGACTGGTGCAGAGTCGCAGGCTTTCAACTCTGTGTGGGTGTGAACCCTCACAGTGTCGCTGAGGTCACATGTGAGTTGTTCACCCACCATGCAATCATGTGTGTCATTAGGGTTAGATGGGTCCAGGTGTGAATGGGTGTTAAGTCGTCCGGGAAGGGATCCCAAGACTGAATTTGTAGGTGGGTGATAAGTGGTGTCTTTAGCTACCTCCTCTATTTAATGATGGCTGTTCCAATTTGATGTAGTCTTCACCAGTCCGTTCGAACTGAAGAAGCCTCTTGGATGAGGGGTGAAACATCTTCAAGAAACTCAAGCAAGTCCAATTGCCTATGATGATCCAGTTGCTGGCACCTGATCACTACCTTTTTATAAGGCCATGACCTCACCTCGCTGTGGGGGAACACACCAGTAAACGTCCTGAACATAGAGAATAAGAAGAATATAAGAGAATACAGGCAGAGGGCGGAGTCTCTGCAGAAAAATACGCCGCCACACACTTGTAGTGGGTCATAATTGATAATTAAGAGGGATTACTTCTGTATGAGTCTATATATTGTTTTTAAGGAAAATCCTGCATAATATACCTTTAAAAGTCAAGGAATTTTATTATGAATACCTACGTGTACTTAATTTTGTCCTTTAATTAGTAAACAGTGTGTATTTTGGATACAGCTTTTCACATATATCACTGCAGTCCTTTCTAAATTACTATTTGTGCTTTTTTCAACACCAGATTCAGAGGTATTTTTAATCCAATGATTGAATCACAAAAGTACGCATACTACATCATATACAGCGTACCATTTTCTGAGTTAATACACAATAAATATGCTCAATAAATTATACAAGATGTGCTCAACACATCAGTCAAACTGCGAATCCTGAATGCCTCCGTCAACCCTGAACTTTAAAGTCAAACATGATTTATGGATTTATAGTTTAAGAAAAGAACAGCTCACCCATTACCAGTGTGCATTGCAATACCATGATGTCCATCACTTAAATGATCTTTCCTGTTCTGCTTGTTTCATTGTTTAATCGCTAACCGAGCCAGATTTTAGTGGAGACGTGATGACACTGTGGTCCTCTACCGATGTGTGATGTTACTATGTTACTGTGCTTGGTGCAGATGAGGATTTGGAACGCAGCTTGTGCTTTTGTTTTTAGCAGGATCACTGAAGTTGCATTTTTTTTTTCTTTCTCCTTCCTCTTAAATCGCTTAACTTGCTTGTATTACACAAAAAGGCTGACTAATATTGAGGGTAAACAATGGAGCAATCTAATACTTCCTCCACGGTTTTGTTTTCTTGTCGTCAGCAAACAACCGTGTCGCGTCTGTCAGTTTGGTACCACAAAATACCTTTATGTAGCCAAATCCAATAATGGATTCATGCTCCTGTAGCACCACCCTGTAACTCTTTATGCTCTCCTCACTGTCAGCCATCATTGCCTCGAAACAAACAGAAAACAAACAGTCTTATTCAAAATCTATTACACAAACAATGATCTGGATCTACATAGAGATGCATTTGTACATATAGAATCTTTAAAGAAGCATCAAACCATTTTCTTCTCAATGCAGATTTGCTTTAGTGTATTTTATCGTAGCGACCACGCTGCTAGATCAATTTTGTGCTCTGCAGAGGCTGCAGACGTTCCTCCCCCGGGGCTCATGTTTGATATCAGTTAGTGTGCTACACTAAAGATAAGCAATGGGCAGTCAACACCAGATTTTTTTTTGTCATTACGAACAATAACACAGCACACATCACTCGACTGAAAGAGGAATGCTGACAAGATGCTCTGGCCTGATGTTTGTGTGTGTGTTTTTTTTCTCCCATGATTCATCCAGAGTAATTGAGCATGTGTGGAAAAGCATGTGCTGGTGTGTGTGTGCTGCGTGGGAGTGTGTGTGGCTTTATGTATTTAAGAGAGCACCATTTTAAGACAAATTCTCTTC